ACAAAAATACAGGGCCGCGTTTTTCTATTACATTGAAGACCACATGCAAAAATTCAAGCCCTTTCGCAAATTTTTTTTTTTTTTCACCCAAATCGTCACTTAGCGTGGTTTTGCACTCACCCCTTCAATTTAGAAAATACCTGTGTTGCTGTTATGTATGTAAAATTTTTCAAAATCGATTCTTTATAGTAAGCAGGGTGAGGAGGCTGTCTTGTATTGTAAGTAGTGTTAATAGCTCTGTTGTTTTGTAAGTAGTGCATATAGCCTTTATTGTACTGCTTTAGTGTAAAGTAACAGCGGAAGTGTTGTAAAGTGTAAGCAAACATAATAAAACAAATAAAATTCAAAAAAAAAACTCTCTTCAGCTTTCCTGGCTCAAAGGCTTGGCCAGAGAATCCCAGAACCCTCCAGAGGGATAATAGTTTTCATCACCATTTAGGGGACTGTTCATGGCTCGGATGTAAGCTTCTGCAGTTTCTGACAGAGTCATTCCTGATCTTGCAGGAAATGAACCGCTCTTAGTTGGGGGGAGGAGTTCTTGCCTGCTGCCTGTTGAAGGAGCAACTGGAACTCAGGGTGGAAAAAAACCGAAGGTGACATTTGTTGCTGAATATGCGGTGGCATGACCATTGGTTCACTTAAACTGGGAGGACCAGTCCATATTCTTTCTATAATATGACTGGTAAGGGATGTGATGTTAATTCCAGCATCAGGCGATGTACGTGTATCTGAGGAATCAGTTACCAGGCTAAACAACAATTCACCAGCTGTACCAGCAGTCTCCTCTTCAGCATCACTGTCTTGCAACTCCTCAACCAATGATACCTGGTTACATCTCTCTTTAGAATGAGTACCTCCTGGGAAGGCTGCCATGAACTTATGATAAATCTCTCTTCATTCTCAGCTGTCATTTTGTTCACTATGTTGCTTAACTGTTTGCGGGTTTCTTTAGACTTGTCCGCTTCCAACTTCACTGGCCCTTTCTTGGGTTGCTTTCCCTTATTCTCTTTGTTACTTTGAGAATCGATGTCGTCAGTCTTCTTGTTGTCCTGTTTTCGTTGTCACTTTTTTGTTGTTCCTGACTTTCCTGCGTGACAGCAGTTAGTTTTTGGGCTAGTTTTCTATTACCATCAGTGGAACCATCGGTTGTTTCTCCAAGTTCGGGCTGACCGTCCGAGTTTACCAGCAAAGGTGAGTCAATAAGAGTGCCAAGTTTGTTTGTATTTCTTCTCCACATTCTATCCACTTTTGAATACGGTTGCTTGCCATTGATCTGAAAGGTTAAAATTGAATCAACTGATGGAGTTTGTTGGGTGAACGTGTATTTAACTAGTGGAATCTTGCTATTGGATACTCAATTAAAAATATCTGCCATCTGTGCAATTGCGTGACGCAGCGTAGCAACAAAATTACTAGCAATTTAATGTTTAGTTTTATCCCCAATTTTGAGAGAGAAGATGTCAGAGGTGTGCTCTATCTCATATAAA